CACCTCCTCCCAAGTTCACCAGTAAAAGCGACATTGCGATTCTCAAGAGATTTTTTCAGCCCTGAGATGTCCATTATTGGCCCAAATGATTCCTTCATTTTATGTGTAATTATAGGGTTCTTCCTTTCACTACGACTACCATCATTCACACACACTTCACTTTCCTTCATTTCATCACTCAATATTTCATTTTTGTCCTCAACCACTATATCCTGACTATCCTTCACCGTTTTGTGATTTTCCTTGACCTCCTGAACGTTTAATTTAGCCTCGATGGACTCGATTCTCTGCCCCAGATTTTGGAGGAACTCACCAACTTTTTTAAGTTCAGCCCACACTTCCTTGACCATATTATTATGACCCTCTCTCTGAGCCACAGTAGCCACTTCACTCACCGTTACACTGTCACTGCCGGAGTCCTGAGTGGTGGCGTGGCTGCTTGTTGCTGGAGCCTGCCTAAGTAAAGGTGACTCCTTTACCCACGCATTCGTCCGGTTCACTGGCACTGTTTGGGGCAGACTGTTTTGCTGTGCTCCCGGTGTCTGGGTAAGAGCTCTTGCTTGCTCTGTAACATTCACCGGCCGGAGAACAGCCATACTCGGCCTCTTGCTACACACAGCCGAGCTCGCATTGTGAACACCTCCACAGTTGCAGCATCTGGGAACTATTTTCTCACCCAGATTCAGTCTGTTTCTACACACAGTAGAGAGGTGAGACTTTCCGCAGAAACGACATCGTGGATCATTTTGACAGCTCCAGGATTTATGCCCCCATCTGCAGCATTTCAGGCATATTATGGGCTCTTCCACATACTTTGCTACATGCCTGTAGCCAGCCCCGGTGATGAACACTTTTTCGGGTACGTCACCTCTCACTAGAGCCACCACCTGACTCCTAGCTTCACCTTTAATAAGGTGACGCTTGGCCCACACAAATCGTTGGTCGTCGAGTATAAACTCGGGGTCCAGAATCTGAGGGTATTTATAGATAATTACCTTCGTCAGCTTCTCGTTCCCCTCCGGTATTTCCATAAGAATTCCATCATATCCTTGCTGGCTAAGAAACGTCACTGCCTCCCTAGAACCTACCGTTAAGTAAGGTCTGTTTACACCTTCCTTCAGCAGGGGCTCGAACTTGCGGTGTTCTCTTCCGAGTTTGACGGTCCACAGCAGCTTCTGATGATAGGCCAGCGTGCATGAGGCAGGGAAGAGAAGCCTCCATCTCCGCTGATCCTCACCTTCCTGACATCGTTCCGTCCGTTTGTCTGCATCAGTCTCGGCGTCGTTCTTCATTCTTTTATCGTTTCCGTTAAGTGTATTACTGTCCACACTACGCCTTGCCTCCTGTCTTCTTCGTTTCTTCTTATTCCTTGTCAGAACTTCTAGATACTCGCCCTCCTCGTCTAACTGGCTGCTTTCAGGGTCCATGTTAATAACGCCGTGAGAAGTAGCCATGTCTTCTGGTGACTGAGTCTCCATCTCAGTACCCAGCATGGGGGGAGGGGGGGGGAAGGTGCGGAGCAGGTATCTTGACCCGACCGCGTCCCAGGTAAGACTGAACTGTCACAGAAAAGTCACTACTTCACTATCTTCTGGAATGTGAAGCAACCAACGACTTTAGAAGAGCTTTAAGAGTCCCTGAATCATGCAGTAACCTCCCTGAAGCCATCAACACAGCCACTCTCCTGGTCAACAAAGGTGTCCAGCAGCTGGACACCCTCATAAAGACTGTGAAGCAGTATCCTCCCCCGCGATAGCAACCTGATGATTAAATGCGACTTCAGAATACTGAAAAGAATTACTGAACAAAAAATTGTACCACTTACGGGCTATTCATGCCCGTGTCACCTCTTGGGTGGCTTAATCTTTATCAATCAATCTTTGGACACTATGGACACATTCACGGGGGAGACATCTCCCGTCACGTAGGGTGCAGTCGCACCACCACAGATCTCCAGTATCAGCTATTGATACTAGTAATGGCTCAAAAGGGCCACCACTTACGGGCTATTCATGCCCGTGCCACCTTTTGGGTGGCTTAATCTTCATCAATCAATCAATTTGGGTGTCTTAATCTTCATCAATCAATCAATTTGGGTGTCTTAATCTTCATCAATCAATCAATTTGGGTGTCTTAATCTTCATCAATCAATCAATTTGGGTGTCTTAATCTTCATCAATCAATCAGATGGAATGGACAAACACAGCCTCTTCAGATTGAGAGACAGTGGACTAAGAAGACACAGGTGGAAGCTGGAAAAGCAAATGAGTAAGGATACTTCTATCCTCAGACTCATTTGTCTAAGGATAAATGCCTGTCTATCAACTGCCATACTCTACCCCTGGACGGATGGTCAACAAGTGGAAGGCACTGAAAGAAAGAGCCGAGGACGCCACCTCCGTCAACAGATTCGACAAAGAGTTTGAGCGCCAGAATAGTTAAGATGTAAGGCAACAGGTGCACCAAGGCAGGAGGAGGAGGAGGGGCATAAGGAGCTAAACCTCACTTCCTCGTAGACTCTCATAGGTAAGGAGGAGTTAGTGAGGAGGGTGGAGAGGGGGGAGGGGGAGGGAAGGGGTCACAAAATCAATATAGGTGGGCCAGGGCGGCGGCGACGGCCAGGAAGAGGGGCCCAGGAGTAGGTTGCGGCCACAAAGCTGCGGTCAGGAGGCTGCGGCTACAAAGCTGCGGTCAGGAGGCGGCGGCGGCCGCAGGAAGGTGGCTGCGGCGGCGACCAGGATGGTAGCCGAGGCGACAGCCAGGGAAGGGGTTCTACCAGTGGGTAGCCCAACTATGCTGATGTGGCTATTGTATTCACAGCCTTGAATTACACCATTATTGTATCCAGGTTGTATTATTAGATTTAGTGTAACACAAATTGTGCTGCTGGGTTATCGTATCTCTTGAATTAATGAGCTATTGAATAGAAGTTTTTTTTAATGAGCGATTGTATGGAGGGGGTTGTATTACAGCGCTATTGTATCGAATGCATTACAATACGGACCTATTGTATGAACCCAGGGACGGAGCATTACCTTGTGTTTACCTTGTGTTGATTCATGGGGTCAATGACCCAGCGGCCCGGTGCTGACCTGGTTAGTAGTCCGGTCAACCAGGCTGTTAGCACAGCAGCATGTAGCCTGACAAACGAGTTAATCTTGGGCAAACATCTTCGGAGGTGTTCATCAAGTTCTCTCGTGAACACCGTGAGAGGGTCGGCCAGTTATGTATAGACGATGTTGACAAATCTTGGATTCGTGATGGTCTTAAAGAGTTCTCTCTCATCGTCCCTGTTGCAACTCTGCTTTTCAACGGGGCTATTTTGCACTTCCTGCCATGCCTCCTGGTCGCTTGTGGAGTTATTTCCGTGTGCAGATTTTGAACCAGTTTGAACTAATAGTTCAAACTGGTAGAGTACCAGTACTCTAGTAGTACTGGTAAGTACTGGAGTAATAGTACTAAAGTAGATTTTGAACTAATATCTTCCAAGGTCAATTAAATGACTCTCCCGCCGGGGCGCTAGAGAATACAGATTTAAAATTTTTTAAGCAGTCTCAATAATTTAGATGTTTTATTGGGTAGATTTTAACAGTAAATTGCACGTTCTCCAGGTCAGCAATTGCTCCAGCTTTGAATGGGGCTGTTAGTGTGCAACACCCATTGATGCCATAAATGTAACCTATCAATGTGTGCTCAAGATGATCTGAGTTCTGGGTAGGCAACTGGAGGAAGAGACGAGAGAGTAGTGAGGAAGGAAGGAGGGATGGAGGGAGGGAGAGGATGGGGAGGGAGAGAGAGAATGAGAATGGAAGCAGGAAGTAGAAGAAGGGGGGAGAGATTGAGAACATAATAGGAAAGTTAGTATAGCTGCTACTCTCGGAACAAATGCACAAGACGCTCCCACCAGCCTAAGATGCTGGGACAGGGGACCAGGACAGGAGGCCGGGACAGGGGGCCGGGACAGGGGGTCGGGACAGGGGGCCGGGACAGAGGGGCCGGGACAGAGGGGCCTGGACAGAGGGGCCGGGACAGGGGGGCCGGGACAGAGGGGCCGGGACAGAGGGGCCGGGACAGAGGGGCGGTACAGAGGGCCGGGACAGAGGGGCCGGGACAGAGGGGCCGGGACAGGGGGGCCGGGACAGAGGGGCCGGGACAGGGGGGCCGGGACAGAGGGCCGGGACAGAGGGGCCGGGACAGAGGGGCCGGGACAGGGGGGCCGGGACAGAGGGGCCGGGACAGAGGGGCCGGGACAGAGGGGCCGGGACAGGGGGGCCGGGACAGAGGGGCCGGGACAGGGGGGCCGGGACAGGGGGGCCGGGACAGAGGGGCCGGGACAGGGGGCCGGGACAGGGGGCCGGGACAGGGGGTCGGGACAGGGGGCCGGGACAGAGGGGCCGGGACAGGGGGGCCGGGACAGAGGGGCCGGGGACAGGGGGGCGGGACAGGGCGCCAACCTCTCATTTCTCTTGCGGTTATGAGCTAGTTATAGTCTTTAAGAACAAGGTCTTCCGACGTAATTACTCACAGATCTTTTACAATACTTTTTCTTTCTACAGTATTGTATATATAGTTTCCATTTTGATATCCTCGTTTTTACCGTAGCAGACAATAATAATAATTCTGTCTAGGGACAGGCAGCCAGTGTATATATACATATCAGGTTAATATCTACCTCACCCCCCCCCCTTCCCCCCTTGTCGAATTACTGACCCTCCCCAGGATGGAACCCCACAAAAAGCTGACATGGGTACCTATTTACTGCTAGATGAATAGATGCATTAGGTGGTAGAAAACCATTTCTGCCCCGCCGGTGATTCGAACCCTGAATTCCCGATCGAGAGTCGATAACAAACCCAACGTACTAATCTTTATTGAACAACAAGTTTTTTTTCTTGCAGGCCATTGAAAGACGTGATTAACATCACGTCTAACATCCGACGCAGCATCACAAGACCAAGACGGACGCAGCATCTCAGAAGCAACACTAGAGAGGTACTTACAGGTTTGAGATCGCAGTGGATGATGTTCTCTCTGGAGAGCAACTTGAGACATTGGACGAGAGAGAAGGCGAAGCGCTTGATAAGACTGAGACTAAACCCCTGATAGTTGTTCTTCTTTATCAGTTCGTATAGGTTGAGTCTGTGGGGGTGACAAGAGAGGTCAGTAGTGACATGGATAGGTGGAGTCCTGATGGTGATGGGTGACACGGTGGGTGACATGGACAGGTGGAGTCTTGATGGTGATAGGTGACACGGTGGGTGACATGGACAGGTGGAGTCGTGATGGTGATAGGTGACACAGTGGGTGACATGGACAGGTGGAGTGTTGATGGTGATGGGTGACACGGTGGGTGACATGGACAGGTGGAGTGTTGATGGTGATGGGTGACACGGTGGGTGACATGGACAGGTGGAGTCTTGATGGTGATGGGTGACACAGACAAGTCGAGTCTGTGGCGATGGGTGACAGAAGTCAGTAGTGACACATACTACCTGTCTCTAGAGACGGGATACCTGAATATTTCCCAATTCTCAGAAATACAGTAAAGCAAAATAAAATACATTAAAAATAAATCAATACATAACCATAAACATAGTGGCAATTACTCTAGCTACAGTTCCTATATAGTACACTACAAATGATTAATTACATAATTTTACAACTGTACTGAGCTGCTAATTCTGGCGACATAATTAAAATTATTAAGTACGTTGGGTGTCAAACTCCCAAGTTAAAAATAATTTGTAATTTGCAATTGGAGAAGTCAAAATTAGACTCGACTGGTCTCTTGACAGCAAGATACTTATCTTTTCTGTTCATCAAAGATAACTAAACATTCAGGTGTCGGTTCTGTCAAGTTCTGGCATACAGAACGAGGCGGAAATATACACACTGACAAGAGTTATATACAACATTGTATGTGTGTATATCACAAAAATAAACACGTGATTAAAAATGTGACAGTGTCAGACCACGGAGGAAAATTGAAACAGGAATTTCCTCACGTACTTTCGTATATTAATACGCAGACTCCTTAATTGACTCCTTCTGAAGATGTATTAATATACGAAAGTACTTAAGGAAATTCCTGTTTCAATTTTCCTCCGTGGTCTGACACTGTCACAACATAAAATATTAGGTTAGTCATATACTAAGAGAAAGTATACAACACGTGACAAGAGACAACAAATGAAAACTAAGAAAACCTGCTGAGATAAACACTGGAAGATGTGTAGTAGTATTAGCCCAATATTAGGACAAGCACCAGGGGCCAGATTCACGAAGCAGTTACGCAAGCACTTACGAACCTGTCCATCTTATCTCAATCTTTGGCGGCTTTGTTTACAATTATTAAACAGTTAATGAGCTCCGAAGCACCAGGAGGCTGTTTATAACAATAACAACAGTTGATTGGCAAGTTTTCATGCTTGTAAACTGTTTAATAAATGTAACCAAAGCCGTCAAAGATTGAGGAAAGACGTACACGTTCGTAAGTACTTGCGTAACTGCTTCGTGAATCTGGCCTCTGGCCCCATATTAGTACAAGTACCAGCCCAATTTTCCCAGAGGCGCTAGCTTGGGCCGCTCCAAGCAACAGCCTGGTGGACCAAACTCTCACACGTCAAGCCTGGCCTCGGGCCGGGCTTGGGGAGTAGAAGAACTCCCAGAACACCATCAAGCAAGTATCAAGCAGATACACCATTATGTAATATATTATCCTTGACGAGCGATAGCACTAACCACGAACACCCACGGTACCAACCCCATGAGCTCGAAGGTGATGCAGAGATGGTTGCGGAAGTAGAAGTAGTCGAGCATGTGGATGACATTGTGGTGTTGGTCGGGGTCCCGTCGCCTCAGGTGGTCTAGGATCTTCACCTCCACCAGCGCCTGGTGGTGGAACCTCTTCTTGTTCCTGGGCAGAGAGAGGAGATGGACTTCAGTGGATGGGTTGAGTAAGAAGTGGATAGGTAGACCAGTAGTGGAGTTGAGAGACGATACTGGATTAGATTATCTATATATTCATTATGTATCTATTATTAATCGACAATATTTGACAGTAAACTTATGTAAATGACTAGACAAGATAATGGAAAATCAATCAAAACAAAGTATATACATATATAAAGAAAATGTTTGTCAGTGTTCAAGGGTGAAGGTCAGACTTTTAAGGTTTTAAGATCAGCTTCCTCCAACTCCTGAAAGGTCGGGGTCAGCCCCCATTCCTTGCATTAACTCGATGGGATGGACGCTGGCTAGTCCAGTCCCTAGACCCCTGATCGGCCCCATTGCCCCTTTTAAGGGGGAGTGTGGGCGCCGCCACAACGCTCTGATGCACCAGGTACTTCCTTCTAGTATATTACACAATCAACTGCACATTTACCATCAATATTAGCTACCCAAATCCTTTTCATACAAAAGAAAACCTTTTCAAAGGGGGACTAAAAGTAACCAAACAGAAAACAGGGTGGAGCTGAGGTCTACAAAGTTGACACATTAGAACATGTCGCGACAAGGCTTATTTCATATAATCTGACCAGACCACACACTAGAAAGTGAAGGGACGACGAAGTTTCGGTCCGTCCTGGACCATTCTCAAGTCGATTGTGAATGGTCGACTTGAGAATGGTCCAGGACGGACCGAAACGTCGTCGTCCCTTCACCTTCTAGTGTGTGATCTGGTCAACATATCTCAGCCACGTTATTGTGACTCATCGTCAGCTTATTTCATATAATTTACATTAAATAATTGATATATCGTTGGTCTAGATCGCCCTATTAAGAGGGTTTTTCCTGACAAAAAGGAGGTGCCGATCTCAAGCAGACTAAACCACTGTGTAAATCACTCAACAGAAATCCTTTATATCCCAGTGTGCTACTCACAAATATGAGTACAAATAGAGGTGAAAGTACACATATATGCGCATGTACACACACCCACGTCCACACTCACGCACGCACACACGCACGTACACACGCACGCACGTACGCACGCACACACGCACGTACGCACGCACACACGCATGTACACACTCACGCACGCACACAAACACCCACACTCACACAGTTGGTCTTTTTAATCTCGAATCGTGGGCCGGTGCGACTCTGAGCTGGCTATGTGCTCTCCCTTTGTCAGAGCGATGCTTGTCTTTTCTGGTAGCTACGGTCTGGCTCTCTGGGGAAGGGGGGAGAGGAAAGGGGGGGAGGGAGAGGGAAGGGGGTGAGATGGAAGAGACAGGAAGGGAGAAAGAGTTATGTGGTGGGCAGAGGGGAGACAGAGTGAGCTCAAAAAGAGAGAGAGAGATTTACACAAAAAATAAATACCATGAATGTAACATTTTTGTTGCAAATATTCCCCACTAAAAAATACACTTCACCTACGTTATATTACGTTCAGACAAAATACACAACTTTAATGGTATACAGATTTTGATATGTTTCGGTGCAAATATTTATATATATTAAACAATATACGAAAATGTAACATTTTAAGATAATTTGTCTAATTCGGCAGCTTTGTCAGTGATGTATGTCTATAGGTATTTAATATATCTGAGAATGGTGTGTTATTAATAGTTTCAACCATAGTTGAAACTAGTTCCAACCTCAACCTCAATAGTTTCAATGCTCTTCAACTTGAAAATCTCGAAGCTGGAATGACTTGGTGCTCATGGCGATGTTGTCACCTCCTGGAAACCTTCAATGGAGAACTAATTTCCTGCTGCCTGAAGACCTCTCTTGGCTTCCGACGAGGCCGCCGGGAGCGTCTGGACCGTCGACTCTTAGGGGAGCGTCTGGACCGTCGACTCTTAGGGGGGCGTCTGGACCGTCGACTCTTAGGGGGGCGTCTGGACCGTCGACTCTAAAGGGGGCGTCTGGACCGTCGACTCTTAGGGGAGCGTCTGGACCGTCGACTCTTAGGGGGGCGTCTGGACCGTCGACTCTTAGGGGGGCGTCTGGACCGTCGACTCTTAGGGGGGCGTCTGGACCGTCGACTCTCAGGGAGCGTCTGGACCGTCGACTTTTAGGGGGCGTCTGGACCGTCGACTCTCAGAGAGCAGTTGGGCCTCGACTCGCGGGTCACCCGTGTTTGGTGGTTTGTGTAGGGGCCCGGCTTAGTCAAGCCTGGCCCGGAGCCAAACTTGACTTGTGAGAACTTAGTGCAACAGGCTGTTGCTTGGAGCAACAGGTGATGGATATGTGGTCTCACAGGCCTACATATCCACCACAGCCTGGTTGGTCCGGCACTTCTTGAAGAAAACAATCTAGTTTCCTCTTGAAGATGTCCACGGTTGTTCCGGCAATATTTCTTACAGTCGCTGGGAGGATGTTGAACAGCCGCGGACCTCTGATGTTTATACAGTGTTCTCTGATTGTGCCTATGGCACCTCTGCTCTTCACTGGTTCTATTCTGCATTTTCTTTCATATCGTTCACTCCAGTACGATGTTATTTTACTGTGTAGATTTGGGGCCTGCCTGGCCCTTTCGTAGACCAGTGGACTATTTGTCTACTGGTCTACGAGACTATTTGTGGTTGCTGTCAGCATGCCGACATTGCCATCACAACCTGGCTGATCCAGAAACTTAAACTATTAATTTGAACACCTTCAAGGCGAACTAGGTCGTTTTCCAACCCATCCAATTATGAAATAAAAAACATATTACAGCCCAAATAATGAGAGATAATACCGAGTCAATACAATGGAGTCGAACCTGCGTCTCTGGGCTCCCCAACACTCGCTAATACTATATCATTGACACATGTACCTCGACCTGTGTCCGTGGCATGCAATACTGTTATTCTTCGCGAGGTTTTTAACAAGAGCAAACTTACTGTTCCTAAATAATGTTTTATCTGCCGCATGATGGTTTTAAACTAGAAGTTCAGTTGGAATTGCTTTTATTTTTAACACTGACATGATTCGGTTTATGTTTATGTAGGTGTAGGTAGGTAATGGGGAGGGTGTCAGCAGGTAGGTAATGGGGAGGGTGTCAGCAGGTAGGTAATGGGGAGGGTGTCAGCAGGTAGGTAATGGGGAGGGTGTCAGCAGGTAGGTAATGGGGAGGGTGTCAGCAGGTAGGTAATGGGGAGGGTGTCAGCAGGTAGGTAATGGGGAGGGTGTCAGCAGGTAGGTAATGGGGAGGGTGTCAGCAGGTAGGTAATGGAGAGGGTGTCAGCAGGTAGGTAATGGGGAGGGTGTCAGCAGGTAGGTAATGGGGAGGGTGTCAGCAGGTAGGTAATGGGTAGGGTGTCAGCAGGTAGGTAATGGGTAGGGTGTCAGCAGGTAGGTAATGGGGAGGGTGTCAGCAGGTAGGTAATGGGGAGGGTGTCAGCAGGTAGGTAATGAGTACGGTGTCAGCAGGTAGGTAATGGGGAGGGGTGTCAGCAGGTAGGTAATGGGGAGGGTGTCAGCAGGTAGGTAATGGGGAGGGTGTCAGCAGGTAGGTAATGGGGAGGGTGTCAGCAGGTAGGTAATGGGGAGGGTGTCAGCAGGTAAGTAATGGAGGTTAAGGGGGGGAGGGTGGCATTAGCAGTAAAGAGGACAACACATTCAACCAATGTTTTTCTACCAATTAAATCCGTTCAATGCTTGTGATCCAACCACCAAACAACACTACCGCCCCAGCGGCCTTATAACAGGTTCCAATACAAAAATGTTCCACAATAAAGGGTTTACGGCGTAATACTTTCGCCAAATTATTTTTTGTCCATTATGTGGAAGCTAGAATATTAACGATGGGAGTAAACGCTGCCTGGCGACTGTTTTTGGGTGGAGTGTTTACCTTGCTCCCCATTCCTGCCCCCGCCTGCTGGAGCCAGCTGGCTCCTCCCTCACCCCACACACGCACGCGAGTGTGTGGGTGCGTGTGTGGCACGCAGCTAGCCCCTGGAGCGCGCCCCACCTCACACCTAACCCCTGGAGTGCGCCGCACCGCACACCTAACCCCTAGAGTGCGCCGCACCGCACACCTAACCCCTGGAGTGCGCCGCACCGCACACCTAACCCCTAGAGTGTGCCGCACATCACACCTAACCCCTGGAGTGCGCCGCACATCACACCTAACCCCTAGAGCGCGCCGAACGTGATAATACCCGTCACTAACCTGATGATCTTGATAGCCACGTGGTCCCCAGACTTGTGGTCGATGGCGCGGATGACCTGGCCGAAGGAGCCCTTCCCGATGACCTCAAGGATCTCGTATCTGTAGCTGATGTGGTCGTGCATGACCTGCCGAGAGGACAGGAAGGTCGTGTCTACAACTATTCTGCAACATGGCTCTTATAGTTACATCGTCGAGGTGGGTCAGTTTGGTGGAGATAATGCTTTGTATCTCTTAAGAGCTGGGGGTGTAGCTCTTAAGATATATTGCTTTGCTCTTAAGATATAGGTATATATCTCTTATTAACCATGTGGGAACAGTTATTGACCGTGTGGGAACAGTTATTGACCGTGTGGGAACAGTTATTGACCATGTGGGAACAATTATTGATCATGTGGGAACAGTTATGCCCCCAGACTGGTCTTAGAGCTGACAGGTGTGACTTACGAGGAAGCACTTAAGGAACAAGCCTCAGATTACCTAAAGGCAGAAGGGAGACATGATCACAAAATAGGTGATACACAGTCAAGGGGGGGGGGGGGCACAGGAGGAAATTAACTCCCTGAATGACGCAGTTATAATTGTTTTACTGAGTCAGCTTAATAAATAATGGCTTGGACTAATAAGAGAAAGTGCAAGAGGGGCTCATGAACCATTTAGGTCGAGAGGAGGGACCTAAGAGCCGAGGTTCAACCCTTGGCATACACAGGTAGGTAAACGTCACTATGCAAGTTCTACGGATAGTGTAACACAGCTTGGTCTCCTCCAGTTGAGTTGCTCACTATCAAGGTAACACTATATTAAATCAATACTGGAATCCACCCCACGTGACGTATACAACAAATACACAAGAAATACAGGGACGTGAAACTACTAGATCTCTCAACCCTGAGGTAGAGAAGAAACGGGGGACATGATCACAGCATCATGGCCTGGTCGAGGACCGGGCCGCGGGGACACTAAAAAGCCCCGAAATCATCTCAAGGTAACCTCAAGATAACATACAAGATACTGAAGGGAATATTTTGTCTGGGGATATTTTGTGCGGGACCCAAGCCTCTGACTGGCCCACTTAGTGTTATTCATCACCGTCTTACTTAGGAGGTAGATAAGTGCTTCTAAGGCGAACTTGTATGGTGGACAAGGACTTAAGGACACTTAAAAACACTTAAGAACAGCCACTTGAAATTAAAACACAAGTCTAAGACAAGTAAGGAAAGGTGATGAGACACAATAACGTGGCTGAAGAATGTTGACCAGACCACACACTAGAAGATGAAGGGACGACGACGTTTCCGTCCGTCCTGGACCATTCTCAAGTCGACGAGAAGTACAAAGTTCTCATCGACTTGAGAATGGTCCAGGACGGACCGAAATGTCGTCGTCCCTTCACCTTCTAGTGTGTGGTCTGGTCAACATGTAAGGAAATACCCGCACTCTATACAGGAGGTCAAACACGTGGAATGAACTGACCAAAGAAGTTGTAGAAGCCACCTCCATCCTCATCTTTAAAGCCAGATTCGACAAAGAATTATAATAGATCAATTATAACACATAATAACGGTTTTAATTATAACCGTCTAGACGACAACAACAACAACAGCTGCCGTCTACAAGAGCTGCCGTCTACAAGAGCTGCCGTCTACAAGAGCTGCCACCTACACAACAAGAGGTGCCGTCTACAAGAGCTGCCACCTACACCACCTCACCCACCTTGTTGTAGCTACCGTTCTCGTCATCGTAGCCGCCATTGAGCTGCGCGCCTTCCTCGCCGTGGATCTTGCGGGCGTCGACCCCGAGGTAGTAGATGTCCGGGTACGCTTCGATCTCCCGCCGCTCGTACTCCGTCACCAGGTCCCCATACGTCTTCAGCGCCTCTGTGGGGAAGGAAGGAAGTGGCGGTGGTTACCCATACAGGGAGCCGGTCGGCCGAGCGGACAGCACACTGGACTTGTGATCCTGTGGTCCCGGGTTCGATCCCGGGCGCCGGCGAGAAACAATGGGCAGAGTTTCTTTCACCCTATGCTCCTGTTACCTAGCAGTAAAATAGGTACCTGGGTGTTAGTCAGCTGTCACGGGCTGCTTCCTGGGGGTGGAGGCCTGGTCGAGGACCGGGCCGCGGGGACACTAAAGCCCCGAAATCATCTCAAGATAACCTCAAGATAACCACACACCATGGACTCGTCCAAGTACCGAGCCATTACGACTATATAGCACTTGTGTAAAGGAGGAAATGTAGATGTTTATCTCTCAGAATGTTTGGTAATATGTTTATTGTTTGTGAAGTGTGTCTATGTATGTATTAACACGATGTACTGAACGGGGTGAGAATAGCTGGAGCTACCTCATCCCTTTGTGTGTATTTTACCTCAAACTTATTTCAATTTCAATTCAATTTCACTATATAGCACTGGGAAGGGTCAGGAAAAGGATTTGGGATGGGACGGAGGGAAAGGAATGGTGTCCCAACCACTTATGGACGGTCGGGGATTGAACGTCGACCTGCATGAAGCACCGTTCATAAGTGGTTGGGACCACTTATGAACCGTCACTCTACCGTCCAGTCCAAGTGGTTAGATGTCATCAAGCCTATATACAATCAATTACGAAACCTGTACATCTTAATCAAGGCGGTATTGTGTATATTTATTAGGCTGTTTATGCGTTCCTAACACCACCATGTTGTTAATAGCAATAACAACCTTGGGTTGTGTAGTTTCAAAAGATTCAAAGCTGTTTAATACATGTAAAGAAAGCCATTATTATTGAGGGGAAGATGTACAGGTTTCGTGACTGGTTATGAAGACGCTTGGTGAGTCCTGATCCATACAACCAGCTTAGAAGTAGAGGAAGATGTCACAACCAATCGGCGTACAAATAGCAATGAGAACAATTACAGAAACAGCTTCATCTTTGTAAACAACCAATATAGAGGGCCAGAGCCGGAGGTACAGAGTAGAGCAGGACAAAGACTGAGACTGAGAGAGTGTGGTACAGAGTAGAACAGGACAAAGACTAAGAGAGAGTGTGGTACAGAGTAGAACAGGACAAAGACTGAGACGCGTGTGTGGCACAGACAGACAGACAAGGGGGAAGGAGCTATGCAACAGCCACAACACTCCCCAAGACACCATAATCCAAGACACTATTCACAGGACCGACCCCAAGAGAACGTTAAAGGTGAAATGCTCTACTGGTACCAGTCCAGGGGCGCCCTTCCTCAAGGCCACCCCAAGCAAGTTTTCCATCATCTTCACAGCTTTGTCTCTTCCGAATTGTAGCGTACCTTGTTCTGGTTCCGGTATGCTATGCCCCCCGCGGCCCGGTCTGTGACCAGGCCTCCTGGTTGGTGGGTCTGGTCAACCAGGCTGTTGGACACCGCTACTCTCAGCCCCACATGAATCACAGCCCGGTTAATCAGGTATCATTTTCCCCAGAGGTGAAGTTTTACACAGAAAACTTTCCCTGCCTTCAGCTCCGTCCTGGCACAGCTTCCCCTGCCATTATCCCCAGTATTAAGGGATTTATCCCTTACAGCAATTCTTATGTCGCCAGAATTTCCCCGCGGCCTTAACTTTTACTCTTGTGGCTGTTTCGCGCCATTAAATGTTGTGCTAGGGGGATTTTCCTTGGCTTTACCTCAGGTGCTGAGGAATTTTCCCTGCCAGTGAGTAGTGTTTGAAGATGATGCGAAGTGAGAGGAACTCTACTGGGGTCCAATGACTTCCTTTATGTATTATATTTTATACCTCTCTTCTACCCTGAGGTAGTTCCTGGACTCAATGCCCCCAGCGGCCCGGTCTCTGACAGGCCCCTCTGACTGATCAAACTGTTGGTGCTTGCGGCTTGCCCCTTCCACTATAGCCCCTGGTTCCCTCACAGAGCACTCAGACCTCCGCACCTCCACAATGAACACCGGCACCCGCGTCCAACAGCCTGGTTGATCAGTCTAGCAACGAGGCGGCCTGGTCGAGGACCGGGCCGCGGGGACGCTAAGCCCCCGAAATCATCTGCGAAAAGTGCTTGCGTAACTGCTTCGTGACTCTGGCCCCAGGCTCGTAAGTGCTTGCGTAACTGCTTCGTGAATCTGGCCCCAGGTTCGTAAGTGCTTGCGTAACTGCTTCGTGAATCTGGCCTCAGGATT